AAAACTTCAATTGCTTTGATATTACATATATAGATACTACATGTGGACCTTTCTCAGATTTGTTCATTTCGTGATGATATCTTCAATTCTCTAATTTTGGTGAATATTTTTGTCATTTTTGGTAGAAAGTGATATTTTCGACTTCTTGTTAAAAACTGTAAGTCCGATTGCTTTGATACTATACATATTGTTCATTTTCTAATGATGTCTTCAGTATTTATCTGTGTACAAATACATTTATAATTGTTACATGTTGTTTATGTTGATCAATACAGAGTACTCATCACATTTCAATGAACCTAGGACTATACACCATATTAGTTTTTTTGTAAATATTTATGCTTCTTGATCACCTAATTAGGTTTACACTTACATCTGCATTACGAGAACAACCCATTAAAAAAATGTACCACACTATCCCACTTGGTTATCAGTTTATGATCAGGAAATTAGTCTTATTTAATCAGTTATAAAAATTGTTATCTTGTGCCACATAACAATGTGTAAACAAATGTGTACTGACTGGAACTACTTTTAGACATCGATTGACCTGCCAGTTTAGAAAATCACGTGGAGTGCGCGTTTGTGTTACAATAGCACGATCGAACAGAAATCATACACATTTTTCGTGGTCATTTAAAATAAGTCTTAGAACAATATAAACGGAAAAGAGTACACGTATTTTACTTTCTTTCAGTTACAGGAGTTTTCTGGCACACTATATCAGGCGGGAGAGACACATCATAGCGTTTCGACCACCTTGGAAAAGTCACTTCCGTGTTGTCACTGCCCATCAATCGCTCCATCAACTGCCTCGATGATGTCTCCCCGTTCATATGTGAAAGTGGCCATACTGATACAATTGCGGGGGAAAATTAACAAATCGTGTACGCTTCTACAACGTTCGACGAAATGCCGTAACTGAAAATTCAACTGGACAGTTGTTTTTACAAGACTAAGACTGCATAAATGTCACATTTGCATATCCCTACGCGTAAGAGCGAAGTGAAAAGGCCGTTCCAGATTGAATACTCGTGTTAAAATATGACGATAAAGACAACTTCACGGAGCTCTAAACTAAATAACAGTATATGTTTATTGTCATAATTATAGAGTATATAAAGAACTCATCGTGAAAAACAAAAAAAATAAGAAAGTATTTATGAGTACTTCGTCTTAGGCCCTGTCTTAGGCATTGCTTTCTAATCTAGCTTATCTAACTTTTTAAGACCCATATCAAAACAAGTAAACAAACTCCACATGACGTCGAGATTGTATCTAGGTTATTGGAGTCACGGTTACTAAATCTTTTTTGGTAACCGTGTTGGAGTGTTGTTCCCGTAATGGTTCATATTAGTTACCTTATTTGCATAAGCTTTTCCATCAATATCTCAAGTCAAGTAATGTTGAATTAATTTTTAATGTGTCTCCAATACTCTCAGCACACAGGAGTTTTTTTCTAAGCTTTCTTTGATCTTTTTAAAATCTGTGTCCCTCCCAAAATGGACCTTCTATAGTTCCATGTGGTCTGCCCCATCACAACCAGTAGTAATTCATATGAAAAATAAAAATTTTACAGTAATTTATCAATTTATTGAATCTTATTTCTTTCTATCATAGGCTTGTCCGGAAGTCTGTTGTATCTCTTCTGAATTTATTTATTTGTGTGCTTTTTGTATGTATTCAGTAAATTGAAAACACTCTTATATTGTTCAGACTGAAATTTCATTTAAATTAGCAGCTTTCCAATAAAATGACGTGTTGATATTGATGTATTGAAGATAAAAAAAAAATAACTGGATGAGCGCATTCAGCGACCTGCACCTCCATTGATCACTTTCTATAGCCACATAGTTTTCTATTGTATGTACAGGTACGTTTTACATTGTGCATAACAGATCGAGGTCATCTTTATTGAACTTTACTTGGAGGTTAAATAACAAATAAAACACAAACATTTTGTATCGAAATTGGTAAAGACAAAATGACGACCTTTTTCGAACACGCCGACCTAGACTGATGAACTGAGGAGTATTATGTTGAGGCATGGAACTATAGTTCCATGGTTGAGGTAAGTCATCGACAATTTCCGGTAGACAGGTATTAAAATATTTCGCCATAATGTACGTGTTAACAGGGTCGGTTCCATTATGGGTTATGCATTAATTCTGTAAAGTGGTTCTTGTGCTATGTACATCATAATTTGAACATCAAGATCGCTTGTATATCCACAACTCCAAAAGTGCATACTTGTTCGATCGTGGTGGGCGTGTAAGTAGTGTTTGATACACTCTCAATGATTGCATTCAACATGGCCGCGTCTACCAGCGTCCGCTTATACTACAGTAATACGAAACCATGCTGTTTCTTTAATTAGAATGGTTGCTGTTTGATTAGTGAAAGTATTAACGAACTGAGTCAATTTATTATATAGCAGCATTTCGTACTTCTCTTTCGTTTTCGTTTTCCGTGTTTCGAGATTGCAAGTGTATTATACCATGGGAATGCCGTAAATAGTGACGTGTGTACACTAGTATTGTGGGCTACTGCCAATTAGGCTAGATGATATGGATGTATAGACGTACACATATAATGGCTCGGATCGTGACGTGTGTGTGTACTATGTAAACCGTTTTCGGGCTACTGGCAATGGTGGTTACCGTGGGTGTACACTTCTGTATGTAAACGAGAATGACGTGGAGCGTGCCATGTGTTGCCTGGGCTGTACATTTCTTTTTGTGAACGAGAATGGCGTGGTGTAATGTATCCACAAAAGAAACACAAGATCAAGGCAGTAACAGGTTTATTTTGGTTACGGAGCTTACAAACATGGCGGGCATCTCCAGGGGTATTAGGCTAAATGAAGAATCAGCGATTCACGAATTGTGCAATGACTGTTTTTAATTGCTATTTTATTTGCAAGAAATAGCGTTTGTTGTTAGAATGTTAGAATTAGTTTGTTGTTGTTAGAATTAGAATGTCCAAGAAATGTCATTCATGCATGCTAGCCTCAGCACTCACACTTAATGATTTGATGCAGTTTATTTGGCATGCTTTTTAATTGAGTAATTAGACAATGAAGATAGTATTATATATCCAACATGTTATATATTTTCTGAAAGCTTATTATACAAACTTTGTAAAACTTGTCTTTATTTTAAATATCCAGAGTGCGTTTTTGATTTTGGGTCAAAAATATGCTTTTTTGGGCAAAAGTGGTTTAAAAAAAAATAGCTTAAAAACTTCAAGTCCGTTTGTGGGTAAAATTACATCACTGGATACATTGGTATACTACTAATTCAAATGCGTCCGCTCATCTTTTTAACGGCTATCAAAATCGCACAGCATAAACTCAAAGTTCACTATTTTCTATTTTTGCATAATTTATATATCTATATTAATTGCGGACTTGTTATTTTTGTTCCACTCGCCGTAATAAACTGTCCGGACGCATTTTGAAGGGGGAGCACCTTGTCAATAATATGTGAAAATTTTAAGGCAAATGGCCAAAGCGTCTATCCGCTATTTTAAATTAAAACCCAAGAATTCACCAAAAATAGAAGACAAGAAAAAGGCTAATTTGCACATTTGCGTGTTCAACCGGGAATTAATGCTTTGTCATACTTCGTCTGACTTTCTAGACTATTGAAATTGAAAGTTTATGTCTATACGTTGACATTTGATGTAAAATCGTTGAATCAGAACAACTGCTCTTGAATATATAAATCATAAACACGTCATTTGTACCAGTGTTTTAATGGGGTCGGTAAAAACACGAGGCAATGTCCAGTAAATATGACGTCATCTCATGAATTATTAAACAGGGGGCGGTCCTAAGAAGGTGACCTTTTATCACGACCAAAACATCATGGCTTCTCTTCCATGTATTTTCAATAAAAAATCTACGAGTATTTCAGAGCCTATGGTTTACCAAGAAGAGTACAAAGTGGGATATTAAATTATTTATTCTCGATGATGTTTATGTAGTATTGAGAACCAACTCCAGGAAGCGAACGCACAGTAATGAATAATCGCGTAACCCTAGAATGAGGGGAGGCAAGGGGGTAGCTGGTACAGTTTTACGGGAAATAAAAAGGGCTTTTCACAATTTACGAAGAAAAAAAAGACGTTTTTACAGTTTACAGTGTTAACAAATGGAACATTGAATGGTCCGAAGAGCTCTCCGACTCAAATTCTCCGCCATTGCTGCGCCGTGTGAAGAGACGCATGCGCATATTACCCTCGTAATGCTCCTCATTCGGTTAGAGGGCCTTTTACGTCTTGACATTCAATTTTGTAGTGAATTGTGTCATCTAGTCGTTTTACAGTTTCTAAAATGTAATTTCCCTGGATTATTCTTTACGATTTTTTTATTTGGATGTGAATTTTTGTACGTACGAGAAAAATGACACATTTTTACAGTGTACGAAAAAAAATATTTGATTGATTACGTTGTACGTCCAGCCTGTGATTACAGAATTACGGAATTTATTTTTTCTATTTACGTTGTACGAACAAAAAAATATTGCAATTACGTTGAACGAAAATAACCCTTGCCCCCCCCTCTAGAATTGAAACGCGAGGCACAGAAGTTTTGTTCAGCGTTTCCAATCCTATTTTTCCCACTACAACATATTTGTTAAAAGAAATATTTGAATTCTGTTTGTTTTTTAAGGAGGCAATTTTTTTATTGTTTTTATATTTCCAATTTTGGTACGCCCTATTCAGCGATTTTCTAAGACAGTCGCAGACAATCAGCGCACGGATGCACGTACACAACATGCTGCTGTACTACCGGCGACGGTCGGGTGTATGGAAAACGAAGACCGAAGACCTAAGACCCTGGAAAACGAAGACCCTGGAAAACGAAGACCCTGGAAAACGAAGACCCCGGAATGTTCCTATGACGCCAATGATACACGAATTCGCCCAATATCGGGCATTTACTTTCATTGTGAACTCGTTAACAAAATTCCCGTACGAATTTCATTGCGAATTCTTCATAATATATTATTTTCATACACATTTGCGGATAAAATCAATGTAAAACCCAGTAGTATGCCTAATTTCATCTTGGTTTCGTTTACAGCCAAAACAAGGTCAGCTTTGGACGTTCAGTTTGCGAGACGTAACAAAAAAACGCAGGCAGTGATAA